GTGTGTGTGTGTGTGTGTGTGTGTGTGTGTGTGTGTGTGTGTGTGTGTGTGTGCGTGTGCCTTACTTCCGCACCCCCCCCCCCTCAAAGCCCTCATTCGGAATCACCTGTAAACCACCCGAGGCGTCGCTAGGCAGGTGAGGACAGCTGACCTCGATGGCCAATCAGCGTTACGAAGAGGGAGAGAGGAGGAAGGGAAGGGAGGGGAGGGAGGGGGCGGGTGGAGGGTAGAGGAAAGGAGGGGGGGGAGGAGGGGAACCATGCGAAAGTTGTTACCATAACAAGTAGGTGAGTTATGCTCCCACGCGGCGCCTCACTGACCCGCCCACTCACGCAAGCCAGACACACACAACACACACAACACACACAACACACACACACAGATACACACACACACACACACACACACACACACACACACACACACACACACACACACACACACACACACACACACACACACACACACACACAACACACACACACACACACAGCTGTAGACTATGTAAGTTACTCATTCACTCATTTATTCATTTTCTAAAAGCACATTACCCATATTACTTTGAGTGGGAGGGTAAATAGTTTTACGTAAACCTCGAGAAACGCATTCTATTACAAATATATAAATAAATAAATAAATAAACAAACAAATAATCAAATAAGAAAATATACAAATAAATAAATACACAAAATACAAACAAATAAATACAAAAGACATACAACCCAACAAAATAAATAAATAAACATAATACACGTAGATGACTAACTCGACTCCCAGACGAGCAAACCGGCCAAGCATTATCACCCAATATGGCCAGTCCTTCCCCTTGGCCAATGAGGATCACCTTCGCAGGTGAGCTCAAAGAGTGGCCCCCTTTAAGGACGAGATAATGGCCCTCAGATGAGTGCCAGGAAGGTGTCTCTCAGACTCAAGTGCTGGTGAGTTAGTCGGGGTTCCTGCCATGTGTGTCAAGAGAATGAGTTGACTGTGAGTGATCGCTGCCGAATGTAATCTTCATGCTGATATTGATAAAAAAATACAATAATAACAATGATATTGATAATGATAATGATGATGATAATAATAATAATAACAAAAAATAATGATTACAATAACAATAACAATAATAATTACAGTAACGATAACAACAATTAGATGAAGAAGACGAAGAAAAACAATAGGATAAAACAAAAACAAAAACTACAATAACAGTCATAACAATAATAATAATAATAATAATAATAATAATAATAATAATAATATCAATAATAATGATAATAATATTAATGTTAATAAAAATAGTAATAGCAATATTAATGTTAATAATACTAATAATGGTCTAATGACAAAATAATAAATAATAATAGTAATAATAACAATATTGAAAACTACAATAACAATATCAATAGTAATAACGATAATAATAATAATAATAATAATAATAATAAATAATAAATAATACCAATACTAATAATAATAACAATAACATTAATAATAAAAATAATGATGATGACGATGATGATAATAATAATGATAATGATAATAATAATAACAATAAGAATAATAACAATAATAATAACAATAAGAATAATGATAGCAAATAATGATGATGATGATAATGATGTGATAATGATGATGATGATCATCATCATCATAATCATCATCATCATTATCACTATCAATATTTTTATCATTAATATTGCTAGTATTATCATAATCATAATCATTATTAATGTTATAACAATCATCATTATTATCTTTATTATCATCGTCATTATCATTAATATTACCCTTACTGTTACTATTACCATTATCATTATCATTATGATCATTATTACTATTATAATTATTATTATTATCACGTTTACAATCATAACAACACCAAGGGTAATAATAAATACAAAGATGATGCCATCAATGCCATCAGCAATAACAGTTACAATCACATTATTGACAATATCAATGGGAAGAAATAACATGAATAACATGACGATAAGGAAAAATCATCACCAAACATCCATCGCCTCCGCCTTTTCAATGAACTTCCAGGCACCCGCGAGTACGTGGCCCTCCGGCGAGAGTGCCTGATTAATGATCAGCTGACCCGCGAGTGCCTGATGAATGGAACTACTTCTCACCTTCGTCATGCAGAATGGCCTCTCAGGGTTACTTAGCGGCTAAGCCTTCTTACGGCAAAGTCCTTTCATGGGTTATCCAGAGGCTATGTCCTCTCATGCCCTCCTTAACAGCGAGGTCTTTTCATGGTTTATGTCACGGCTAAATCCACTTATGGATTATTCAACGGTTAAGTCTTCTTACGGGCTTTTTATCGACAAGTCCTCTCGTGGGTTAATTAACGAGTAGCTGGCCCTATATTCAAGGCTGCGACTCGTGACTGAGGGTGTGGCTGACGAGATCTCGAGTGGGAAATGGTGTTAATGGTGGGTGATTGCATCTCCCATGCATGACTTTACGATGGTTACTGCTTCCACGAATGTCTCTAGTGATTGATACTCCCATTCGTAATATGGGAGACACGTCAATAACTGGTAAGGTTGGTGCTTCCGAAAAAGGCTCTAGAGTGGATATTTTCTTAAATTGTATGGTTGATATTTCGATGAAAGCCTCCAGATGGCAGATTCTATGAAAGCCTGGACAGTGGGTGACTTTCATGAGCGCCCCTTGAGTGTGTGGCATAGTAATTAATGCCAAACGAGTGACTGACCCTCCCATGAACGCCCCAGAGTGAATGGCACTCGTGACCATGCCCCCTGCATAATAAATACCTAGCAAGTGGCTGGTGTATCTAATCATGCCCGTGGCGCTTAACCCTTTCCGTCCTGCGACCCACGGAGACTCTCCTCGAAATTACCGCAATCCCTAAAAATAAATGAAACAGTGCCGTATGAAGACCCAGGTGTATTGAAAAGACCACAAACGAAAACCGTGAAGAATGCAACAGATCCTCAACAAAAGCAAGAGCATTGCAAAATCCACAAAACCCTTCGTGACCTCTCGACAAATCCCAAACGACCCCCCAGGGGTTACGACCTCCAGGTTAAGAACCGCTGCCGTAAAGCATGTGGCACTCCATCTGAAAGCTTTCACGAGTGCCCAGTGATGAGTGGCTGCTACACCTCTTTACGCCTCAACAATGCTTGGCCTTCAGACGAATGCCTCGCGAGTGACTGGCTCTCCAATACATGCCTTAAAGCGGCCAGAGCTCTGCCTCGACGAATGCCCGATGTGTAATTGCTATACCCATCTATGCCTAAAGAATAATTGGCCTCCCATGAACATCCCGCAAGTTCTGGCCCTCCCATGAGTGCCCCACGAGTGCCATGAGATCTACCGGACGCCCACCCTCCATCGCGGATAGTTACAGCGCTCTCCCTCTCTCTCTTCTCTTCTCTTCTCTTCTCTTCTCTTCTCTTCTCTTCTCTCTTCTCTCGTCTCGTCTCGTCTCGTCTCGTCTCGTCTCGTCTCGTCTCGTCTCGTCTCGTCTCGTCTCGTCTCGTCTCGTCTCGTCCTCGTCTCTCGTCTCGTCTCGTCTCGTCTCATCTCTCATCTCTCTCTCTCTCTCTTCTCCTCTTTCATCTCCTCCCCTCTCATTCTCTCTCTCTCATCTCCTCTCCTCTCCTCTTTCATCTCATCTCCCTCCTCTCTCCTCTCCTCTCCTCTCTCATCTCCTCCTCTCCTCTCCTCTCTCATCTCCTTTCCTCTCCTCTCCTTTCTCTCCTTTCCTCTTCCTCTCTCCTCTATCCTCTCTCTCTCCTCTCCTCCTCACCTCCTCATCTCCTCTCTCTCTCATCTCATCTCCTCTCTCATCTCTCTGCTCATCTCATCTCTCATCTCTCCTAATCTCCCTCTCCTCTCTGTCTCCTCTCTCTATCTCCTATCTCCTCTCCTCTCATCCTTTCTCTCTACCTCCCTCCCCCCACTCCGGCAGTTCGCTGATGGCTCATATCCTTGCTTGCTTCACCTCATCCTCCGCCTACTCCTCCTCCTCCTCCTCCTCTCGCCATTGTCGTCATCTCCGTTCCCTCTCTATTTGTTCTCTTTCTTACTATTTTCTTCTTATCTTTTTCGTAGCTCATTTTACGTCACTTTTTTCATACTATTTTTCTTCTATTTTCTTTCTTCTTCCTTACTATGCCTTATTTTTGTATCGATCTTACCCTTACAGTCTCTTTCTTTCAGATTTGCGTTCTTTCTCTCCGTCTTCCTTTCTCCACTTTTATTTGTTAGTTTTTGATCTGTATTTTCCCATCTATTTACAGAGCGTTTTCCCTTTTTGAATTTCTTCTCTTCTGGTCCCAGACCCTTTCATAACTTACTTTATCATTATTTTTATTACGACCTTCGCAATTTTTCTATCCATCTCTTTCAGCGCCCTTTCATCCTCGATCTTCTCTCATTCCCACCTATTATTCAACATTATCCCATTTCTCCTTCCTTCCCCCTCTTTCCCTCCTTCCTCCTCCCGCCCTCCTTCCCCTCCCTCACTCCGCCCCCTTGAAGACGCCACAAAACACACGCGACAAAAGAAGAGGATGATGGCGTTGTTCGTCTGCAAATACTGCAATTAAAAGACACTCTGGGACGTGAAATTACTTGTCTTTTATTTCATCGCCCATATCCGCCGTGGAAAAACAGCTTTCGCTCTTCTTCGCACAGGCCCTCCGCCCTGTCGTTCTCGCTCTCTCCCTTTCTTTCTTTCTCTGTCTGTCTGTCTGTCTGTCTGTCTGTCTGTCTGTCTGTCTGTCTGTCTGTCTGTCTGTCTGTCTCTCTCTCTCTCTCTCTCTCTCTCTCTCTCTCTCTCTCTCTCTCTCTCTCTCTCTCTCTCTCTCTCTCTCTCTCTCCCTGTGTGTATGTTTGCTTATTTGTCTTCCTACACTCTACTACCCTCTCTTACTTTCTTTCTAATCTTTAACCACACACTCACACACAACCCACACACGACTGACAACTAAATCCAGCCAAAGCGGCTCGCCTCTTAC